ATCAAAACTTAAAAAGGAATAAACGCAAAAAGAAATATCCAAAAATGTGGAGGATTGTTAGTATACTAATGATTGGAAATTGATGTTAAGAAAAAGGGCTTCAAGGCTCTAAAAGCGCCAGAATGAGCCAAAAATTTTAATAAATTGACCTTCACATGGCGCACTAAATAAGCGAAAGTTTAATTAAGGATATACACAATGAGATAAGTGGCTTTAAGACTTTCAATTGACTTCAAGAAATGCGATGGAGTTCGCTAAAACACTTGTTTCACCAGAAAAGTTGATAAAATTTTCGTCTCATTTTGGCGCTTTAAGAGTCTTGAAGCCTTCTATCTTAACATCAATTTACAATCATTAACCTACGAACAGTCCTCCACAGTCTTGAATATTTCTTTTTTGAGTTTTAATCTTTTTCAAGTCCTTACGCAGCCTTGAAGTCCTTAATCTCAAACTTATTTTTGAAATACTAAATGCTTATTTTGAGTGAGTTTAGCATTCTAAGTTAAAAACGGCAATTTTATGGCTTTTGAAGTCAATTGAAAATCTTGAAGCCACTTATCTAATATACTTTAAAAACTTTTGCTTGTTGTTTATATCTCTAATTAATCTTTCGCATATTAGTGCGTCATGTGAAGGTCAATTTACTAAAATTTTCGGCTTATTCTGGCCCTATGTGAGTGTTGAAGCCTTTTATCTAAAGATCAATTTCCAATCATCAGCATACTAACAATTCTCCACATTTTTGGATGTTAATTTTTTGCGTTTCTTCCTTTTTAAGTTTTGATGTTTTTCAAGTCCTTACGCCGCTTTGAAGTCCGTTATCTCGAACTTATTTTTAAAATTCCAAATGCTTAGTCTGAGTGACTTTAGCATTCTTAGTTAAAAAATGCAATTTTGTGTCTATTGCAGTCAATTTAAAGACTTGAAGCCACTTATTTTATTAACATTAAATACGTTTTTATTTGTATATCTTTAACTAATCTTTCACATGTTTAGTGCGCCATGTGAATGTCGATTTACTAAAATTTTCGGTTTATTACGGCACTTTTAAAGTATTGAAGCCTTTAATATAAACATTAATTTCCAATCATTAGCATACTAACGACCCTCCACATTTTTTAATATTTCTTTTTACGTTTATTCCTTTTTAAGTTTTGATGTTTTTAAGTCTTTACGCCGCCTTGAAGTCCTTTATATCGAACTTATTTTTAAAATTCCAAATAGTTATTTTGAGTGACTTTAGCATTCTTAGTTAAAAATTCCAATTTTGTGTCTATTGAAGTCAATTTAAAGTCTTGAAGCCACTTATCTTATTAACATTAACTACGTTTTTATTTGAATATCTTTAACTAATCTTTCACATGTTTAGTGCGTCATGTGAATGTCGATTTACTAAAATTTTCGGCTCATTCTGACACTTTAAGAGCCTTGAAGCCTTCTATCTTAACATCAATTTCCAATCATTAGCAAACTGACAGTCCTCCACATTTTTGAATATTTCTTTTTTGAGTTTTTTCCTTTCTGAGTTGATCTTTTTCAGGTCGTCGCGCAGTCTTGAAGTCTTTTGTCTTAAACTTAGTTTTGAAACACCGAATGGTTATTTTGAGTCAGTTTAGCATTCTTGGATAAAAACTGCAATTTTGTGGCTTTTGAATTCAATTGAAAGTCTTGAAGCCACTTATCTTTTTTACATTAAATACGTTTTTTTATGTGTATATGTTTAATTAATATTTTGCCTGATTAGTGCTCTTTCTGAAAGTCGGTTTGTAACAAAATGTTTGGCTCATTCTGACGCTTTAAGAATCTTGAAGCCTTTTATTTTAACATCAATTTCCAATCATTAGCAGACTAACAATCCTCCATATTTTGCGATTTTTCTTTTTTGAGATTGTCTCTTCCTTTTTGAGTTTTGATCTTTTTCAGCCTCACGCAGCCCTGAAGTCCATTTTCTTAAACTTATTTTTGAAACACCAAATTCTTATTTTGAGTCTGTTTAGCATTGTTAGTTAAAAATTGCAATTTCGTGGCTCTCTTGCAATCTTTAATTAATCTTTCGCTTTTTAATTAAGTGTCAATTTATTTTTAAATCGTCGACTCATTCTGGCGCTTTAAAAGTCTTGAAGCCTTCTATCTAATCATTAATTTCCAATCATTAGAATACTAACAATCCTCCGCATTTTTGGATATTTCTTTTTTGAGTTTCGATGATTTTCGAGTTCTTCCGCAGCCTTGAAGTGCTTTATCACAAATTTTTTAAACACCAAACGCTTATTTTGAGTCTGTTTAGCATTCTTAGATAAAAATTGCAATTTTGTGGCTTTTGACGTCAATTAAAAGTCTTGAAGCCACTTATCTAATTCACATTAAAACGTTTTTTTATGGGTATATCTTTAACTAATATTTTGTTTATTTAGTGCTCCTCCTGAAGGTCAATTTGTGACAACATTTTCAGCTCAATTTTGCGCTTTAAGAGTCTTGAAGCCTTTTATCTCAAAATCAAATTTCCGGCATAAGCATACTATTTTATATTTTTGGTTATTTCTCGTTCGCGTTTTCTGCCTTGAAGCTTTTTATCTCCCACGTCTTTATAAAAAATCGTATTCTTGGTGTGCGCCAGTTTAGCGTTCTTAAGCAAAAAGTGCAATTTTGCCGTGTTTGAAGCCAATTGAAAGTCTTGAAGCTACTTTTATAATTTAGGTAAACGACGTTTTTTTAGGCCTATATTTTTAATGATTCTTTCACTTATGTAGTGCGTCCTGTAAAAGCGATTTTATAAAAATATTTACCTCATTTTAGCGCTATAACAGCCTTGAAGCCCTTTATCTAAACATCAATTTGCAGTCATTTTTCTGCATAATTTTGCAGAAGTAGAGCTTCAACTCAATTTCCACCTAGGTTTTTAAACTGAAAATTTCTTTGGAAGTGCATCGGGATTCTTGAAGCCATAATTACAATTACACTCTGGAGCTAATTAAGCTAGAGAGCAAAAGTGTGCCTTGCAGCTCCTTTCACTGGCCTTGAAGCCGCTTATCTAAATAAAAAAAAAATATTCTGGGTGCAAAATGGATTGCTTAATTTTTTGTTTCTAAAACTATTTGCATTCATTTGATGCTGGCGCTTAGACTAGTTGAAGTCGAAACTCCCAAAAACTGCTGAACTTTTGAATGCTTGAAGGCGTGCGCCCCTGAAGCAGACTTTCCACAAACTATTCATCGAGCAAATGGATAACGAACGCAAACATCCACTAGCAAAAACGACACAAAGACTGAGCTCATTTTCTTGGAGTAATTGAAGCTGCAAAGTTTTAGCCGACTTGAATGAAAGGCAAATATTGACGCAAAAGTAAAGCGGCAAAGCGTAACCTGGAAGACCAAATAGACTAAGCGAGTAAGTGGGTTTTGTCTCCATTTTTCCATCGGTTTCCCCTTTCGTTGTTCCTCCATCGTTCGCCTTCTCCCGTTTAATATTTCAGCGATTCTTTGCTTAATTGTCCCAAATTGTCAAGTGGCGCAGTCAGCAAATCAGCACCTGCTCGCATGTTCGTTCATTTTCAGTGTCCGAACATGAACGAACAACATTGGCGCTGTTGCCGCTCTTTCGATTTTTTCCGCACCTTGCCTTAATTGTCCCACATTGTCAAGTGACACAGTCAGCAAATCGGCACCTGCTCGCATGTTCGTTCACTTTCAGTGTCCGAACATGAACGAACAACATTGGCGCTGTTGCCGCGCTTTCGATTTTTTCCGCACCTTTCCTTGTTGTTTGTTGTCCCACATTGTCAAGTGACAGTCAGCAAATCAGCATGTTTGTTCACTTTCAGTGTCCCAAAATTAGCACTGTTGCCGCTTATTCGATTTTTTCAGCCTCAAATCAGGTGCAGGCGTCCGAAAGCTCAAGGCATTAATTAATAAATCAGATAAAAACCGAACAGAAGGGAACCGTTGAAAGTCGAATGGTTAATATTTGCCAATCGGCACACTGATTGCGAATTGAACGCAAATAATACATAATTAACAATAAATAAATGCGGGAATTATTATTAATTATGGGGCTTTTGTTGATAAATTACATGGTCAAATAGGTTTAGACCGATTTTAAAATGAAACCAGCTGGCCATTTGCGCTAATTGCGGTTGTTTGTTCAGTTTTATCAAATATTCAGTTGAATCGTTATTAGTCGACGGGTTTTAGGGTGGAAATACATTAAAAGTGACCGGAATTTAATTAAATGTTGACTGAAGTAACGTTTTTTCTAGGAGCTGAATTGGCAGCAGCGCGCTGCACTTGGGAAGGTGAGTGTTTGAAGGAGGTTTCCTGGAAGAGGGTTGGCTGCAGCCAATTTTTGCCTGATACAGTTTTTATTGAGCGCTTCATTGGCTGCTTAAGACAGTTTTTTGGTTTGCGATACTTTGAAAACTGGCAGAGTTACGACGCAAAAAGCGCAGTGTTGACTGCGGCTCCTCAAGTGCAACTTTTCAAAACTCAAACTCGTTTTGCACAAGAGTGGAGGCCCGTAGGCGCTTTGTTCAAGAGAACTTTTCTTCGGGCAACTACAGCAGGTTTAAGGTGTTTTTGAAAATTTCCAAAAAATATGACTGTTGACAGAATGATGCGCAAGAGTGTGGGCTGAATTAGAAAAGCACAGTTTCAGTCATTCAACCTTTGAAGATTCGTTGCCCCCGAACTGGTCCGAAAATGGTTTTTCATTAAGAGCACCTTTTCAACCTAAAATGTTCTCTAATGCTAAATTTGGAGCAAAATTGGAAAAAACAATTTTTTTATTTAGTTAGGTGCTATTTATTTTGGGGCAGTTTGGCAACGTGTTTTTTTCCAGATCGTTGGCTTTCGGATCTTGGAGCATGCAAATAATGCGAAATTTTCCAGAATTTTGGGGAATGGTTAATCTTTCAATTAACTCCCAGGTTTTACTAAAAATCGGGAGCGTCGTTTTAAAGTTTTTTTTATTAATTTTTAATTTTACCAACATTTTTTTTTCTGGGGCTTCTACTTGCTTTTGCTTGCTTGGAATTCTCCAAAGCTTCGCCACAATGTAAAAATCAGCCCGCCTTGAAGCAAAAAACTCTGATTTTTCATCAAACGTTTCCACTTGAAGCATTCTAGCACACTTTAACATTTAACTTGTTTTTGTTTGCTAACCAGTGCCAATATTTATTTTGACCTTAAATACTTTTTTTAGAAAATTTGACGGGGTTTTCAAATATTTTAGAATTTCTGTAACTTTTTGAGAAGCAAACGAGTTACGAGGTAAAGAGTGCGACTCGACAGTCGATATGTTACTGCGACGCAAATTAATTTTCAACCGCCCTTTACTCACAACGGGTTGGAGGTAGCGATATTTACCTCGAAATATTTTTTAAGAAGCCTTGAAAGGCCGGACCGACGGGACTTTTACATTTCCAATAAAACAAAAATTTGCCGATCTATGAGGAAAAATATACAGTGATGACTGCGACTCAGCAAATGCAACTTTGAAAAATTCATACTCAATTTACTCCAACGTCCGGACAAGTACCGACTTTGATTAGAAATACTTTTTCTTGGAGAATCGTAAGCGGTTTAAGAAGGTTTTTGAATTTTTTAAAAACTTTTATACCTGACTGAGTTACGGGCGAAAAAGTGAGGTGACAGAGAAAAGACTTGTTTCAGTCGCYTTAAGTTTAAACTSCGTTTGCTGGAAACCTGAGCCRAAACGCGTTTTTSGTCAAGAGCACTTTTGCTAGCCAAAAYATGTGCAAAATYCWAAAAATRGACARAAAAGTGATTTTTTKAAATTTTTTATTTGACAAAAAATTTTGAAATTTTCCGATTTTTTTTTAATTTTTTGTTTTGATTTTTACATTCAAAATTGAAAACCTTCAAAAATTATTTTGTTCCTTTTTAATCTTTTTTCTTTGTTGTTGTCACCAACAGTCTAAAAAAATGGTATTGATAAAGAGAACACTTCAGGAAGTTCAAAGTCTCCTCACTAATTCCGCATTGACGCATGATTTTTTGAGTTGAATAATTTCCGATATTCAAAGAGCAAAGTTTAGTGAAACTCAATTTTTTCTCCACACAAATTCGCAGCCTCATAATTGTCATTTGCCTGCCAACCCTCAATCTGGCTTGAACTCGCTAATTCGTACTTTAATTCAGTTTTTTGCTAACTAATCTTGTGTGATCTCACATYTTTTATTTCGCTATTTTCTCRCACGTGGCCAAATGCTCAGAACTGRCAAGAACTCAATTTTGAAGTTTTCCTCCTCASTAATTTCCAATTTAAACCARTCTTCTGGAGATTGACTAATTCTTATCTATCATTGGATATCTCCGCATTTTTTTGCAAGCAAATGTCCTCCGTACTTACCTTTAACCCCCTACGTTTCTGAACTCACTTCCTCACTAAGTTCTTCCTCAGTTTACCTCCATTTTCTGTTCACTTTGGACGTTTGAACTTTATTCCTCACTAAATTCAAGTTTAATGTACTTTTTTCTCACTGATAATTTCCGGATTTCTTTACCAGTAAACGTCGCCCGAATTGTAAATCTAACAGTGGATCTCTAAACTTACATCCTCACTGATTTCTCATCTTCCTCACTAATTTTTTAAGATTTTGCAGTTTTTGCTGTTCTCAGCTGTAACGAATTAGGGGTCGATAGAATCGAATTTTGACTGCACGCTGTCTAAATTCTTCTTTCCCTCCCTTACCTACCCACTCTTCCTTACTTAATTTCAATTTAATATACTTTTTTCACGATCGACCTACTAACTTTTTCAAATCGATTATTTTCTTATAAAGTTAGTTGCAAAAGTCATCGCAAATCTTTTTTCCAAGTTTTGGGAAATATTTGATTAAGTGAGTGAAAATTTACGACAGTTTTGCACTACTTCCTCCTCACTAATTTCGTATTTAATGTCTCATCCTTTTGAAGATCGATCCTTTCTCGCTTAACCTTAACATTTTCCCGCCCGAAAACTTGGGTTACACTCATTATTTCCTCCTCACTAATTTTAAATTATTTTTTTCTGTTCACTCTGGACGCTTTATCTGCATTCCTCACTAAATTCAAGTTCAATACAATTTTACAATTTGTTCTCGCTGATAATTTCCGCATTTCTTTACCAGTAAAAGTCGCGCGAATTATAAATTGAACGGTGGATTTCTCAACTAACATCCTCACTAATTTCTTCACTAACTTTTTGAGATTATCACAGTTTTTGCTATTCTAAGCTGTAACGAAATAGGGGTCGATAGAATCGAATTTTGACTGCACACTCGAATATTTCTGTCTAAACTCTTCTTTCCCTACCTTACCTACCAATTCTTCCTTACTTAATTTCAATTTAATATACTTTTTTCACGATCGACCTACTGACTTTTTCAAATCGATTATTTTCCTAGAAACTTAGCTGCAAAAGTCATCATAAATCTTTTTTCCAAATTTTGGAAAAGGTTTGATTAAGTGAGTGAAAATTTGCGACAGTTTTGCACTACCTCCTTCTCACTAATTTCGTATTTAATGTCTTAGTCTTTCGAAGATCGATTTTTTCTCGTTTAACCTCAACATATTCACCTTTTCCGGCCCGAACACTAGAGTCACACTCACTATTTTCTCCTCACTTTTGTTAAATGTATGTTGTCTGTATACTCTGGACGTTTGAACTTTATTCCTCACTAAATTCAAGTTCAATGCAGTTTGTTCTCACTGATAATTTCCGCATTTCTTTACCAGTAAAAGTCGCCCAAATTATAAATCTAACAGTGGATTTATAAACTAACTTCCTTACTAATTTCTCATTTTCCTCACTAATTTTTTAAGATTTTCACAGTTTTTGCTGTTCCCAGCTGGAACGAAATAGTGGTCGATAGAATCGAATTTTGTATTTCCTCACTCGAATATTTTTGTCTAACTTCTTTCTTCTCTACCTTACCTACCCATTCTTCCTTACTTAATTTCAATTCAATATACTTTTTTCACGATCGACCTACTAACTTTTTCAAATCGATTATTTTCCTATAAAGTTTGCAAAAGTCATCATAAATATTTTCTCCAAATTTTGGGAAATATTTGATTAAGCGAGTGAAAATTTACGACATTTTTGCACTATCTCCTCCTCACTAATTTCGTATTTAATGTCTTAATCTTTTGAACATCTATTCTTCCTTGCTTTACCTCAACATATTCACATTTTCCGGCCCGAACGCTAGAGTTACACTCACTATTTCCTCCTCACTAATTTTAAATTTATGTTTTCTGTTCACTTTGGACGTTTGAACTTTATTCCTCACTAAATTCAGGTTCAATGCAGTTAGTTCTCACTGATAATTTCCGTATTTCTTTACCAGTAAAAGTCGCCCAAATTATGAATCTGACAGTGGATCTCTAAACTAACGTCCTCACTAATTTCTCATCTTCCTCACTAATTTTTAAAGATTTTCTCAGTTTTTGCTGTTCTCAGCTGTAACGAATTAGGGGCCGATAGAATCGAATTTTGACTTTGCACAATCGAATATTTCTGTCTAAATTCTTCTTTCCTCACCTGACCTACCTATTCTTCCTTACTAATTCCAATTTAATACACTTTTTTGAATATCGACTTTTCGCCTTTTTCAGCAATTACCATTTAAGCTGAACTATGGGCATTGAACGAGAGGGAGAAGGATGAAGCTAGCATGGGCTTCACGTTTTTTAAATTTCCAGCTGCAAACCTTGTTGCCAGTTCGCGTCTAATTAACAGAATTAAAGTGCGAATTCGAAATTGACTTAAAAAACTGTAGACTTTTTGCATCGTGATTTTCAATAATTTTTCCTAAGTAAACCTGATGAGCTGGAAAAGTATTTGTTCCGCCGCTGGAAAGAGCACACGTGACTCAATAAGTGTGCCACATGTCAATTTTATGTCGTTTTTTGACTGTTGACTTCTCGTAAAATTCCTTTGCAAAGCGATTTTCACTCATTTCTCTTGGACATTGGGACAAACGATTAATCTAAGGGAAATGCAAACAACGAAATTTTAGAAAAAAAAGTTTATTGGCACTATTTACAAAAAACTGCAACGTTTCGAACGTTCACCATCCTCAGGCGCACAGTATCGCTTCATTCGCCGCACAAAAAGTACATGTCTAGATATGTGATTAGAAAACGCTACTACAGCCTAATGCCCAATTTGCAAATCTCAGCCTACTGGAGGCAGTGTTGTCAAATCGACAAACCATTTTTTTTGCTTTGGCAACACTGCCCGACTGGAAATACGGCCTGTATATCTATATTACACATTTTGTACACATACTTGTCTGTATATACAACGCAACAATTGACTAGATTCTGCAAAATTAACCTGCATGCCTACGTACTACCCTGTATATCGACCTGTCGGCTCTCATTTCGCACATACATCGAACAAACGTGGTTTGACAGTGCAGCTGCCAAATGTCACTTGGTACTTGGACTGTCAAGTGTCAGCTGTCATAGTTGCACGTCTTAAGCCACTTCGAGATCGGAAGAGGACTCTTCGCTGAAATGTTGCACTGATGCCGGTTCGATCATGCGCCTCGGATCGATCGGCACCCTTGATGAGTCCTCTTCTTCCTGGAGTTTTCGCAGTCGTTCCTGTTCTTCCCGTTTCTGTTTGCGCCATTTGGCCCGTCGATTTTTGAACCAGACCTAAAGAGGAAGAAGAGGCAGAACGTGAGCGAGCATCGGCCTGCAGGCACCACTTGAGAAAGGTGGCGTTGTTGTTGACATTGGGAAAAAATCGATAATTCAAGTGGTAAAAACGGTAAATACGCTACCGATTTTATCGGAATTCGTCTATTTGCTCGGCAAATAGCTGAACTAGTCGACTGTTTACCGACCACTATCGATTAGTGATTTTTAAATAGGTAAACAGAACCGTTTTCTTGGGTGGTCATCGAATGTCGGGCCTCTTCAGCTGGATTCTTCGATTTAAGCGACTCAGATTTAATTTACGTTAGAATCT